TCATGCTATGGCTCAGTCTGTCTCCTATCTCTGCCTCCAACTCTAATTGACTGTGGATTGTATCCATCCAGGAGCAGTTTTAGAGTCCAAGCCATGGGGCTGGCCCCAGTGGGCTGGTGGGAAGTAAAGGAGTCTGATCTGGATGGGGGGGTAGTCTTTGGACCAGAAAGTACCCATAGGATTCAGGCTTCTTAATGAGACACAACCCCTCCCCTTCCCTCTCCCCCCATCCTGCTGTGCTCTGTGGGCTAGAACTGTTCAGGTGATGGGAAGCTTGTGAAGAGTATGAGGGGTTAAACTGTTCTATACAGGGAATCCAATGTTTAGAGACATCAGAGCAGGGTTCCCTCCTTCCCATTTGACAGGTGATGCCTTCACCTGACTCTAGTGTGTATTTCTTCCTCCCATCTTCATCGACATCATTCTGCTGCTCCTCGAGTCTTTCTCTCCTGAAAGCCTTCCAATTCTAGCAATTGCAATAGAGGAACCATAAAACCTCTATTGCAATTGCTAGAACTGGAAAGCTTTCAGCACTGTGCAAGACAGGGGCCTAACTCTATCTCCTGAACTGCTGGTGCTCAGCAAAGTTATTGTATCCTGAACAGGATCCGGCTACTAGACACATTTCGTGTCTATGACCAACCCCCGCCCCCTATACCTGCTTCACCAGACATGCTCAGCAGGCGGCACCACGAGGACCAGCCACAGATATAGTGAGAAAGCAAACAGTTATATAGGGGCTTGCACTGACGGCAAAGGATTGACGTTTAGGGGTTAGTCAAAGGAACCTTCGAAGAGACTTACAGGAGAATATGAATGTGGTCCCTACATTGCTCTGTTTTGTGGCTGTTGCATCATGTAGGTAAAACACTTTTTTCCCTTTATATTTTCATTATATTTAATAGCTGTATCTATATGCAGCACACTTGTATGTAGACGTGTAATACATGCCTATAATGAGTAAAATAAATGTACAGGTATGATTTACTAGTTTAGATGTTTGCATTTCACTTTTAAAATTCTGAGGATATTTGCAAAACTGTATAAGTCATTCAGGTGCCTTTGAAAATCATTTATTGGTCTGTCTGTAATATATGCTGACCTGTAATATTAGAATATTTTAAATATGTACAGTGCATGGATCTGTATTATCCCATTAGAATATAATCATTATATATCCAGACTACTCTAGATGCTTAGAAATTGTAATATGCTAGCAGAGCAGATGTTAGTAGGAGCTCTCAAGAAGGAGGACTAAAAGTATTAGAAGATTTATTGAGAATTGTATTACGGCCCTGTTCCTTCTTGAAGCCAAGAATTCTGACCCCGAAACACATTTAAGCAATCCATGCTCTTTTTAATTCATAGAAAAGGACATACTAAATTGTTTACACACAACACATTGTAAAAGCATGACATTGTTTTACTAATTTTCAACAGAAAACAGAAAACTTTTTTTCTAAAACAAGGGTCATAAGAAAATTTGTAATACTTTGAAATACTGCAATATGTGATCAACAAATGTTAAATTTGGGATTATCTTAATGCATGTGTAAGTGTAGACCAGCCCTTAGCAGCAAGAAATAATGATTAGCTATTAATGATCAATAGTTATGCATCAATCCTTGTGGTTATATTTTGGGTTTTATTTTCTATCACTATGTTCTGGGCGGGAGAACAGCATTTGGTATAACTCTGTATGTGTTAATAGTCCTTGGTCTCTATTGGATTGTAGGTGTTCATTCTGCAGCCATAATCCAGCAATCACAGTCAATGGTGGAAAGGCCGGGCAGCCCAGCTTCTTTGGAGTGTTCTCTGGAAGGGCAATCTAATCCCAATTTCTACTGGTATAGGCAGCTTCCAGGTGGAGAGATCCACTTGCTTGCCTATTCATTAGGCGTTGACCAGGTAGGGGACACTGGACCAAAACACTTCCACGCAAGCAGAACCACAGACAAGAAATTCACGCTGAGCATCAAACCACTCTTAGCTAACGACACAGGGGTGTATTACTGTGCGTGGAGCCGCACACTGGGCCAGGTGGGTGCAGTCCCTAAACAAAAACTCCCCCTCCCTCCCCCACACATAGGACAGTCTCCCCACCTTTGCAGTGTGGCAAGCAGCAGCTGTATATGAGCAGACAGAATAGCAAAACTGGCTGAGAACATGACTTTGAGGTGTCAGACTGTGAGTAGACAGTAGGAAATGGAAACGCTAACAGCTGCGTCCTGAAAGGTGAGACACATGCAAGTTCTACAGCAGAGATTCTCTGTACAATACATGCCTTACAGATCTAGAAGGAAAAGAAATTATGTGGAGGTGGGACAGAGTGGGATGAATGGGAAATCATAACTAATGAGATAAATTTAAGCAGAGTTACAGGAAAGATGTCATGAAAATCTTTCATAGGAAGATAGGACCCCGGAAGGGCTCTCCGGTCATGCACAGGACCAGACACAGGCATGGGTGAAGTGGGCAGCCGCCTGGGGCCCAGCCAGAAAGGGGGCCCAAAAATGGTATTTTTTCCCCGTTGTTTGATTATTATTATTATCAATATTATTATTATTATTATCATTATTATATCTGGTGAAGGGGGGCTGGATACTAAAAGTTTGCCTGGGGCCACCAGGAGTCTAGGTACAGTGCTGGTCATGAAGTCCTGTCACCTGCCACTGCAGATGCCATGTCACATAATCCTTTCTGTAAACTGATCCAGCTGCATCCTAAAATGAATTGAGTTCTTTGTCCTTGCTATTTCATAAGAACATAAGAGATGCTGTACTGAGTCATACCATAGGCCCATCTCACCCAGTATCCTGAATCACACAGTGACATAGAACAGATGTTAAGTATTTATGCAGGGCCCATCCAAACTGACCCTCTCCTATAGCTTCCAGTATTCAGAGGTCTAGGATGCCCTAATGTTGAGGTTGCATGCCTAGCTATCATGCAGAGCAATCATTGATGGATTTGTCTTCCATGAATTTTTCCAAATCTCTTTTGAATTAACACCCTGGCTAATTGCTGTGATCTGTTACTTCTTAGAAGTTGGGCTGTAAGTTCTATTTCTTGACTCATTTAACAGTAGACTGGACAATGCACTGGAGGATAAGATGTAGGGCTGCTGTTCTCACACTATCCCATTTCCAGCTCCTTCATGTCAGACAGTATTCCCCTCCACCTGATCCCCACCTCCCCTCCAACCACTTTCCATCACATCCTGCCCATGGAAACTATGGGCATGGGTTCATTCATTCTGGGCATGTCTACACATGCAATTAATGCACACAAATGAACTGTACATTCATTTGCAGCACACAGAGCCTAGTCAAAAGCAGCCTGGGCTGGCAGGGGACACAGGGAGTCAGCCTGCCAGCCCAGGGTTGCTCAGACCTGGCTCCATGTACTATGGAGTAGATGGCTGGGGCACAAGGGTGTTTCAGAATAGGGGCTGCCTGCCAGCTAGACTCACACTGGAGTACCCTGTGACTCAGCCAGCCAGGGTAGCATCTTCATGTGCACTGCTGCACACAAAAAAACTCCACAGCAGGGAGTTGCTGAAGAGTTTATTAGTTTCATGTGCCCTAATAAAGACACACGTGTAAACACCGAGGCATTTACTGAACAGTTAATTAGTCAACTGTGCAGTAAACATTTTGTGTAGATACACCCTCTGTGTCCATCATACAAACACAATATTGGTGTTAGAGTTTTAGATTACAAGGCATATGTTGGGACCTATGACAAGCATTCCTCCTCCAAGGGTACATAGAGGAAGAATAAGTGATTTGGTCAAGGGCACATGAAACATCAGTGGCTGGGAATGGAACCTGGGTCTGCCAGATTCCTAGCAAGTACCTTTTCCCCTGGACTGCCATTCCTCCTCCGGTCATAAATTACAATTAGAGCATTATTATAAAAGTAATAGTGTTAAGTGGGGCAGAAGAAGCTACGTGGGTATTGCACTCCATATTTAATCTGCACTGTCTCACTGTGGATATTCTGGGGCAGGATTTACCCCTGTTGGGACTCCAACTTCTAGCACTGATACCACTTGCTCTGCCCTATTAGCTATGGCACTGCTGTTTGGTTCTGCTCCTAGTCTACTCATCTCCACCTGACTGACTGTAATGTCTTACACAACTAAGTTGGCTTAAGAGAAAACCTCAGTAAATGAAAATAAAATGCAGAGGCAGAGAGGTCCACACTGGTATTGATAATTAAAAAAAATCAGGAAAGCATCTGAGGAGGATAATTAGCCCCAGACTATGCTGCAGTGAGAGAGGGACAGCTTGAAAGCTGCCATCTCCATGAAAAATCCTTCTCCTACCACTAGGTGGTACTCCTCCACCATCAGAAGGAGTAAGAGATGCACACAAAGAAAAATACCATGCTAGGTCAGACCGCATGTAGCCCAGTGATTTGAGTCTCACAACAGCAGGTGTCAGGAGCCAAGGGAAAGAAGCGTTACATGAAGAGAGCACAGGGTGCCAGCTGCTTCTCTGGTGCCACGGCCAATGAACTTGAATATTTGTGGGTGGATGTTAGAAGCTTGGTTCAGCTGTTCTCATTCTGCCCAGAGACCCATTGGTAATAAAATTAGCAGTATAACCTCAAAACAGGAAAGGGGGTAAACTGGGAGTAAACTTTTGCCCTGCCTCTGCTGGGCTTGTGGGTGCAAATTAACGATCCTTTGTGATCCTTTGTGACACCCTGAGAAATGAATAGGGAGTAAACTGCTGCCCGTCTAGTTATCTCTGATAAGCCAAGTTTCACGGTCCAAGGCCATGTGCGGTGCAGACACCGACACAGCTGTAGCCACTGCCCTTGACCCTGTAGTTGAGGCAGTAAGAAGTCACTTGCTGTCATCTCTCGCAGATGTTCTGGTTAGAAATCTTGAACGCCCTCCCTTGGGGTGGGGCAACACACAAATCAGCCTCCCCCTGTGTCTGTGAGAGCACAGGAAGAGCCTGTCAACCAGTGTCAGGAGGAGCCAGACCCACAGAGCAGGTTATTTCGACCTCATGCAAACGGGTCACCCTGGGTCAGGAAGCCAGAGATGGAGATCTGTGGAGTCTGGTGTGTGGCCATGTTCCTCTTAGGAGCAGGTGAGTCCTTGGTCGGGACCCTTAATCCCTGTCCTAGTGTGTGCAGGATTTGCTTCTAAACATTCCTCTAGGAGCTGACTTTCATTGCATCTATCTCATGCTTTATTCCCCACTCACACAGGACAAACATATGCTGAGATAACTCAAACACCCAGTGTGGTGCTGGAGGGAAAGCGCACAGCTTACCTGAGGTGCAAGCAGAACAATGGCCATGAAAACATGTTCTGGTACCGGCAGAATCCACGGCAGGGGCAAGGCCTGCAATTCCTCTTTTTCTTCCAGTACCAACAAGAGACAGAGAGAGCTGCTAATTTTAGCCGCTTCAAGGCTAACAGAGCACAAGATGATGTCCTGTACTTGAACATCTCCTCTGTAGAGCCAGAGGACTCGGCTGTGTATTTCTGTGCCACCAGTCGCTACACAGCACTTCAGAGTCACTTTCTCTCTCTACAAAAACCACTTCTGTTGCTTGTTTTTTTTGCAGCCTGGTAGAGAAAGCTAGCAGCTGACTGCCAGCACATGGAGTGTATCAATTGCCTTCTCCTGTGAGCAGTGGAGAGAGAAGCCAGAACAAAAGAAGGGAGGTCAGATCAGCACCTTTGATTAGAAGGGCCTGCCCCAGCTATACACAAAATACATTAAAGCTCTGAGCAGAGCCAGGCCTGAGGTGACCCTGCACCTTCCTTGTATGGCTCTCTGGTGAAGCAGAGATGGTCCCCAGGGCCTGGTTTCCACTTCACAGATGGGGAAATGGAGATGCAGAGTGGCTGGAAGATTTTCTCAGGTGGTCAGGAAGTGATGCTCAACCACATGTCCAGAAACACTTGGGGCCCCAGGGCCTCAGCTAACCACAGACCTATGAGCAGACATCATTACTTTCTCCAGAACGTAGGCTTTTCCCCCTGTTATGCCAACAAGCAGCCTTACTTGTTCAGAGGGCAGTAGGAATTCACACAGATATAACTGAACGGCCTGTCACATCCAGCCCAGTTAGGGAAAGCCATAACCTGCAATTTCTTTCTGGATATAATACCCACATGGCTCCATCCCCATAATACCTGCAGGCTGCACATCCTTGATGCTGTTCATTGTCCTAGGGTGTGTGTCCCAGGATGTGTCCGAGTGCTCCTCATGCTCTTCTGTATGCAGGAGCCTGAGGCGCCTGGCAGATGTTACACTTAAGGTGTGATTAACCTGTTAATCATGTCTTAAGTAATAAGCTGGCCACACATTAATGACAAGATAAAACAAGGAATAAGCTAGAACTTAATTATACAAAATTTGTGTAATAATTTTGTGGCTGGTTCCTATCATGCCTTAAATTGCATTTGTGGCCAGTCTGCATGCCACGGGGGGTTAATTCGGTTTAATTCTCCCTAAATTGAAGTGGTGGGTTTTTAAAAACACCACTTCAATGTAGGGCAAAGTAAACCCCTGTGGCATGTACACAAGGGTCAGGCCTGATCTTTACCTGCCTCTCTGGTGGTGCGGAGGGGAGGGCGAGTTGCTGGCAGGCTGAGTGGTCCCTTAGCTGTGGGGGGCTTGTGCTTCTCTCCATGGCAGTGGAGGCAACCCCCCGGTGACACTTGCCTGCAGGCACCCGGGGGGCACTGCAGCCATGGAGGGAAGCACCGGGCTCCCATGCAGCTCAGGCAGGCAGGCAGACACTGGGAGGGAAAAAAAAAAGGTCAGACTTGCCGCTTTTTTTTCCCTTCATTGGAGTCTGCCTGCACAGACTGCTGCTGAGATAGCTGCACAGCCCCTGAACTGCATGTGGCCCAGTGCTTCCTTCCGCAGCTGTAAGGTAGCAAACTAAAACACCTCAGACATGTTTTATTTTGCTGCATCCCAAAGTCATTTAACATGCATTATGCTGCCAATGTGTAAACAGTTGCACCATTAAAGTGGTGCAAAAGGGCACTAAGCCACTTTAAAGACCAATTTTGTGGTGTGCACAAATGGCCAGTGGTGCCATGTGTTAGGGAGGTACTAAAGCAGCTGTCCCTGGTGAGCAATCAGCCCTGGTGTTGTGGGAGGGGAGCATCAGAAGGAGGGTGTGATGTGGTATGAATCTGTCTCTCTGACCAACAGAAGATATGGTACTGAGATTATTCATGTTGTGTTAGAGCCTAATAACCCCTGTCAGGTATCAGAGGCCATTGTGCTAAATGCCATACAACTGAGGAAAAAAAAGGCAGCCCCTGCTCCAGTTAGGTCACCACTGTGGATTTTGACAACCTAACAATGGAGTAACTGGACAAGAAGCAAGTGCCTTGGGGAGGACAAGAGAACAAGGGACAAGGACACAGGGAGGACTGATGCTAAAGTGAGGAGCTGCAGAAATGTCAGGTGCCCACAGAACCTCCTATTCCTGAAAGTTTTTTCAGGAAGAAGGAAAACATCCCACATCCTTCAAAGAGACAGGTGACATCATAGAGAAAGAAGAAAGGCTGGGGTATTTGCCAGAATGGCTCTTGCACTCAGGGATGCCCCCTGCAGATATACCCCACAGACCCATCCCAGAACCCAAGAGTCCAGCTCATGGCAGCAAGCCCTGATCACCTCCTCTAAGACTCTCAGGAACAGGCCTGATTTATGGTGGCAGAAAATAAGGGGAGGGGAGGGCACAGATGAAAGAGAGAGAGAGAGAGAGAGAGAGAGACATCTCCTCCCCAAGGAGGAGTCGCATTAGTCATAAACAGTAGCTATATAAAACAGTACTGAGGGAAATGCCTCCCTGCTGTCAGGTAAAGATGGGGTTGTGCCTGGTCTGGTGCATGGCTGTGTGCCTCTTGGGAGTCCGTAAGTGATGGCCTGAGGCATGAAATCCCCCTCCAGATGCCCAAAGGATTTGTCCCTCCATTTCTTCCTCCTGAGCCATTTGCTTTGCTGTCTCTACTTTGTGTTCCCCTGCAGGACACAGTGATGGACGGATCATCCAGAAACAGAGCCTAGTACTGGAGAATGGGACCAGAGCCCAGCTAGATTGTGAACAAACTGATGGGCATTCAAGCATGTTCTGGTATAGGCAAGTTCAGAAGCAAGAATTGGTACTGCTTGTTTACTCACTGGCTCAAGGTAGTGTTGAAAACAGCATCAGCACAAAGGAAGTCACTGCCTCCCGGCCTGAGACTTCTCTTTTTCACTTGATCATCCCCTCTGTGAATGTGCAAGACTCAGCAGTATACTTCTGTGCCACCAGTTTAGACACAGTGACTCAGAGACACCTGTTTCCTCTACAGAAACCGCTTTTCTGCAGCCCCCAGCACAGGAAGCTTGGGGCCAGTTGCTGCTGCACAGAAGCAAAACATATCCTTCTCAGCACTGCATAAGTGTAGGAAGGGTCTGGAGTGTAGGTGGGATGGGATGTGGAAGGTAGGGGATAAGGTGGGGCAAGTGCTGTGGTACACAGTTGACAGTCCAGAGGTTATACATCTCACCGCACAGGCCCATCAGGTTACAAAGAATCTGTGAATTCTGCTAAATACCACGTTACATGAGGACATGAAAAAGGAAGGAAGGGGATAGGGCCTCTTTCTGTGTGGGATATGTGCATCTGTCTTGAATAGAACAAGGCTGGGTAAAAAAATACATTTATGAAGACTGTCACCAGGGACATTGGAGGTTGTTTCTGCAGTTCATGGGTATCATGCCATGACACCTGCTTGAAAACAGACCATGTCATGATCTTCCACAGATAGCCATATGTGACATTTGAGAGAGGGTTTAAAACACACAACCTGCATCTCCCAAATAAATGTCTCACCCATCCTGAAATTTAGACCCTGCTGTCTTTAGCAAGGCACCTGTGGAAACCCACTCTTGCCTCAATGATGTTATGACCCACCAAAGAAGAAGCAGTTCCTAACACATCCACCCTAGGGAAAATGTCTATGTATTCATGTTGCCAAGAAGACAAAGAATTAGTGGATCATATTGGTAGCACTGCATATCCCAAAGGCATTTTGTAATGCTGTGCCTTCTTAATGCACGATCTTGAATGAGATAACAATGGTGACTCTGGAACACCGGCCGTGTCTATATGAGACACTAACTGTACAGTCATTTAGTACTGGCATACACAATTACTAAATGATTGTGCAGTAATTGGCATTACTGAGCAGTAGCATCCCCGAACGGCTTTTTGGTGACGCAGACTGCACTGTAGCTTGGTACTAGTGTGCAATAGCATCGTGTCATGCTTCGTGCCACAAAATGCTATTGTGCAGTAGTAACGAGCTACTGTGCAGTTAGCATCTCATGTAGATGCGGCCGCTGTGTCTGAACTAGTGGTACAAAAATGCAATGCGGAGGCCTGCTGGTTCGCAGAGGAGCTATTCAAGTGGAAAATCACCAGGATCTCCAAGTGAGAATGAAAGCCTGAATGCAATTGCCATCACATTCAAAGGAAGAGAATTTCTGGTGCTAACAGAATTAATGATGCTGGATGAATATTTTCAAACAAAAAGGTTTCTTTTCATACAAAAGGCCGTCTTTCTGAAGAAAACTTTTTTGAGGGAAATAGTTGACAATTTTCTTCACAAAAAAAATGTGCCATTTTTAACGAAGTGGGTATCAACAGTTTTTTGTTTACTTAAAATGTACAAGCCTTTTTAATTCCATTCTCAAACATATTTGGAAATTAAAATGAATGTATACATTTATGTAGGAGTATGTGTGTGTGTGTGTGTATACATACACACACACACACACATACACTCCCACAAAAATATATATATTTTTGTGGGAGTGTATGTGTGTGTGTGTGTATACATACACACACACACACACACACACACATTCAGGATCTTGAAACAAGCTCAGGGATTCTTTATTTTTACTGATGGATCAAATATTTGTTTAGAAATGTTATGGGCAGGCAATTCTAGGTTGACCGTCCATAATTTTTTTTTTGCTGACCATCCATACATTTATAGACTGTTGGCAACCCAGCTAAAGCGCCCATTCTTTTGTTGGTAAATCCTGTATCTGCCTTTGCTTTTTTGGCCTTGAGCCAGGCAGCAGTGAATTACTTGATGCCCAAGGCCTGGCTGGATTCATTCCCTCTGTCCTTTCAGTGGGGTGGACTAAGCCAGGCTAGCCCCAGTGCAGCACAGTCAGGATGAAGCAATTGTTACTCCTTCCCCACCATGCCCCAGAGCATAAGATCCTCTTTCACCACCATCCCTGTCGGGGAAGGAGAAGTTCTTTGCATATAAAATACCTTACTGTATATTGCTGGACAAGGGATTAGAGCGTCTCAACCAGCCTTGTGCCTATGAGTACCATACCTACCTGGCTCTCAAGCCATGGCTGTGCTTTCTCTGGCTCAGTGAGTGTTTAAGTGGATGAAACAAAGAGGAACAGCTTCCACAGGGGGTACTGGGAGCACATCCCCAAGCAGTGCTCTCACCCCTCAAGTGTCATGGTCAGTCTTGAGGTTGGAGGCCTCAGCCTACAGCAAAGTCCCAAGGCAGGCAGAGGCAGGTTGTCATTCCTGGATCACCCATGGGACTGATCTAACCACCGGACAGAAAGACAGCACCCACACCCCTTCCCACCTTCATCCCTTCAAAAAAAACCCAACAAAGATTTGACTAAGG